GGCCAAAACGACGTCGTTTTGGCCATTTTGATGTTGTTTTGTACTCAAAACGACGTCGTTTTGGCCATTTGAGCCACATTTGAGCCACAGAATTTGGGCCCTCTACCATTGCTCATTGTAAATATATAAACCACAGGAGTGTTGTTACCCTACCTTGCCTTTGGTGAGGCTCGAACCCAAACCTCCCTTATGTGAGAGGTGAGGAAATGCTATTGGGCTAGAAACCTTTGGCAACCCAATTTGTTAGGCCTATCTAAAATTACATTAGTAGTTTTATATTTTATGATATTTTTATAATGTGTATTAAGATTGCCTTTTGAAAATTATTTTATTAACTCTGTATTTCACTAATTTTTCACAATGTATAATGATGTGATTTTCAACTACTTTCCATGCTATTTAATAGTATCAATATAATCTAGTCATTTTTATTTACAGAAGAGGTGTATGTCTTTTTGTTTTTATATATATAAAAAACATGTATACTTTTATTTACTAGATATTGTTAATCAACAAAAATGCTTTATTAATAATTTAAAACTTTATAAAAGAATTAAAAAAAAAACTAGTTAGATTTATTTATTTTTGTTCTCATAATTTTTTTTCCCACAGCCTTTACATAAGAAATTATCTTCTTTTATTAATGTACCAAAACTAAATATTTTTTTATGCACACACCTCGGCCCCTGAGCATATATCTTAAGAAAAATTCTAAACATATATAAAATTCATACAAAAAACTCTACAAAATGATGTGGTAATGCCATTATTATAAATAAAAGCATTTTCAATGGTGTTTTGTTTTGAAATGAATAGTCCATAATGAGTCACATCATTATGTACGAGATTTTTGTTTGTATCGTATTACTCAAATCTTAATTCCGCCCCTACTTGTAGTTGTTTTTACTTGGAAGATTATACCAAGTGTTCGTCACTAAAATGTAATTTTTTTTTTTTTGGTGCTAGACTTGAAATGACATGATTTCATATCCAAAGTGTTTTTGGACGCTGAAAGTTCTGAGGATTTTGTCAACAAAAGGTCTGCCTAAACCAGAATACTAGCTGCCTTCTTTAGTGAAAACTTTTCGGCCTGTTTTAGTTTCAAACTTCAGAAAAAGAAATTAGGAGTTGGGAGCAATAGAAAGAGCTATAGTCCAGTGGGCTGCTAATATTAAGCTTAAATTGGGCCCAGTGTAAGCAGCAGAACATTTTGGAGAACAAGGTTATTGGTGCATGAAAACTAATAACAATAATATGGTCAAGTTTGGGAAATCTCAAAAAAGTCAAAAAATTAAAAAGTTATTCAAAAAGTTAAAAAATTTAGCCTTTTTTACTAAAAGTCAACAATTACGGCTGCACAACTCCCAATACTAATTTTCCCTTACATATTAATTTATACAATTTTTTAATACATATTTCTCCATAAAAAGTCAAAAAGTTAACCCAAAGATTTATATTTTCAACCTCAACTTTTTAGTCTAAAAAGACAAAAAATACACTTATTTAAGACACCCCAAACAACCTCTAAATGTGCAAACTAATAGGTATAATCTACCATTGCGCTGAATTCTGTAGCTTACTTTTCAATTTTCGGGTCAAAAAAGCTGCTTCTTAATTTTTTTTTTAATAATTTAAATTTTGTATTTGGCATGGGCTTCTTTAGGTAAAAGCCTAAAAACCAACCTAATGGTGTTTTAAGATCCATTTTTCGCTCCAAAAAAAAAAAAAAAAAAAAATCCCAATTCTAGCGCCATATAAGTGTAATTTGGCTTCTCAATTTTGTTGTTGCTGTGAGAAATATTATTTATCAAAACTAGATTGTCCAAGCCACTTTAAGTGGGTGTTTTAAAAAAAATACACTTTTTTATTTATTGACTTATATGGGTTGGGTTTGATGTGATGTGTTAGAAAGGTGATGTGATTTAAATAAGATGTGTGACTTAAATAGGATAGTGACTTTTTTTATTATTTAACTTATGCCTTAGCTTTTTTTCAAATGAATAATAACTTGTGTTCCTTGATACTGTATTTGGGGCTGGTTTGGGGTGTCCTAAAAAAGTGCACTTTTTGTCTTTTTGGACTAAAAAAGACAAAAAAAAAATATGGAGGCTTGGGTTAATTTTTTGACTTTTTATGAAAAAATGTGTATTAAAAAATTGTATAAAAAAAGTGTGTAAGAGATGATAAGAGAGGAGTGGGCCCCAGCCGTACAACCGGCTGTACAACCGGCTGTGTAATTTGAGTTGGAAATTATTGGCTAATTTTTGTACAAAGCACTGGACGGTTTTGTTTGATCCGTGGGGGTCATCACGGGTCCCATTCTAATAATCTGAACCGTTCAATATGTGTAACTCGTCGAACACTATGTACCTATAAAAAATCACGTTAATCGGATATCGATAGCTATCTGATCAGATTTATTTATTTTTCAATCATTAATTATAACACCATCCATTTGTTGTATATAACTGATTTGATCATATAGTTATCTATATCCGATCAATGTGATTTTTTGCAGACATATAGTACTCGACGATTTCTACACATTGAACGGTTCAGATTATCAAAACGGGACCCGTAATGACCCCCATGGGACAAACAACGGTGTGTGTGAAAATCACACCGAATCATTTCATTTTTGCTGCACAGCCGCTGCTTTACATCAATTCAAATTGTACTTTTTGGGAAGAAAATTGATTTTTAAATTTTTTTTTTTTGGTGAATAGTGATATTTTTTTGGATTTTGGAGTAACTTTTTGACTTTTTGACTTATATAGTATAAGCCAAACCAGACCTTGGTTGAGAGATTTAAAAAGAAAAGTACAATATTACTACAAGTTGATTGATTATAATTAGTTTCTAGAATAACATTAATAATTAAATTGCTTGATTTGATTTTCTTGTGAATGAAAAGTACAATAAATGACCATTTTTCGGATGCTACATGATGGGGTCGAAGAAAGTTCCTCCAAATCCAGCTCGGATCTAAAGTTCTAGTTTCTACTCATTGCTAATTTAGAACAACTTAAAGAATACCTAATTTTCGGGACTGAAATCTTATCAGTGATTTTTGACTAGACAATTTCCTCACCCATAAGCGCATCTCTAATAGTATTTGTTATAATATCATTGCTATTGTTATATTTTAGCAATGGATAGTAGTAATTTGTCAAATTATAGTAATTGTGCTCTAATGGTACACATGTTATTTTGGCAAATCTCAACCAACTTTCTCCTCAAATTTGTAGGAGGTATTGTTTGGATATAAATTTTTTAGTGATTTTTTTTTTGTGACCTTTTTTTAACTGTTTGTAAATTTTTTATATATATTTTCATTATACCCAGCTAGACAAATATAAAAAATGAAAAAAAAATAGAAAAATTAAATATTTTTTGTTCCACTGTGTTTATTTATTTATTTTATATTATTGTTCCATCTCTGGTATATTATTGTTCCACTGTGTTTATTTCTTCCATGAAAATTTTGGAACTAAATTCTATTTATTTGGATGATGTGGCAAGTTTGGCAATTGTTGCCAAATTTGGCAACGGTTATAGCAGCCCATTGGAACAACATTTTTAGAACTCTTGTCAAATTTTGACAATAACAGCTCAAATAGCTTACCATTGGAGATGCTCTAAGCTAGTCAACAATAATATTACAAAATAAATAAATAAATTACATTGACCTCCTTCAAAAATTAGAAAAAATAAATTTTATAATTTTGACATAATTATAATAATTTTTTTTAATATTAAATAAATCAAAACTAATATAAATGTATTAATACACAAATTAAGATAAAATATATATTTCTATATAAAAAAGATAATATCATTCTTTTATTTATACGACTAACGAATGACATAACTTACATGTCCCCAACAAGGGATAGTACAAGGGTGTTCACTTGTTCATAGATCATACCCACATCCATGTGAGTGTGTGTAAAGGAAAAATCTTGTATTGCACACCATATGTAATGACTTTATATAAAATTATTTAAGTTTTCATACATTTACATAAATAATTTTACAAATATATATAAGTTCAACATAAATTCGCATAATCACATAAGTTTTCGTAACCTTATGCGAATTTATGTTTAACTTTTAAATTTTTATATAATCGCTTATATAAATTTATAAAAAATTATGTAATTTTATATAAAATTATATGCCGTGTATATTGTACACCAGATCATTTTCCGTGTGCAAAATAATGTCTAGAAAATAACCACATGTCGTAAAAATTTTAGTTGATAAAATAATAACAATACCACTGTTGTTAATCAAGCCCGCAAAATGAAAAGGTGACAAGCAACCAATGACCAACAGTGATGTACACAGCGGAATCAGATTCTCTACAATAATTAGTAATTCTTGTTACGTAACTCAAATTTTGTGGTTTAAAAGTGGTTTAAATGGCTAAAACGACGTCGTTTTGAGTACAGAACAACATAAAAATGACCAAAACGAAATCGTTTTGAGTACAGAATAACATAAAAATGGCCAAAACGATGTCGTTTTGGTCATTTGAGTCACTTTTGAGCCACAAAATTTGAGTTACGAGACATTTTCTTCTTACAATACAATTGTAAGGTTGTCATATAATGATTTGAATACCCAATCAATTATAAATCATTTTAACCATCATTGACACCTCCTTAAACCAACTTTGAAAGGATTATCGCAAGGGATAATCACAAGAGCATTTCGCGGTCTTATATATAAAACCAACACCTACAGTCCCAATTTGGAGAGATCAATAATCTTCTCATTCATGGCGAAAAAATTAAATTGAATATCTTCCCATTCACATTTTGATGCTTTACAACCTCTATGTAATAATCAACAGTTTTTCGAACACAGAAAAAGAAAAGAAAAGAAAAGAAAAGAAAAGATTAAAAATAAAATAAAATGAAGAAACCAAACCTATGGACAATGAATGATAAAACACGCAGAAATCATTAGGGAGTTATTTGAATCGATCATCGATTTCAATATTGTGGAAGTTCCTTGATAGCTTCAAAAACAGAACCCATGTTTGGCGATGGAAACATTGAATCCACATATCTATACAGAGGCCGGGGAGACATAAACAAATTGCTGGAATTCGGCGTGAATAGCGGTATATCGGCCAAGTATTGATTCGGCACATCGTTCAGATTGAAAGTACTAGGAGACAAACCAAACTTGTCATCATCTGTAATATTTCCTGAAGAGGACTCGTTTTTATCCTCAATCTCAATACCCTTCGTTTCAATCTCATCTTTTCTATTCAACAAAGACCCATTTTTTCGAGGTTGATTTTGAGCTTGTGGTGCAGAGGAGCTTGATAGACCCGTGAGTTTCTGAACCAAGGCCATGAAATCGCGAGGCTGGGTATGGATGATTTTGGGAGAATGAGCGTAAATGATTACTGGGTTTTGTTGTTGTTGATGTTGATGTTGATGTTGATGTTGGTGAAGATGGGTTTGATGATCTGATGTGCGAGGATACGAAGAAGAAGATGGTTTTTGGATAGAATGAGAGTCTTTGTTGATCCTCAATGGAGACGGGCGTGGACCGTTGATTTCCCTTCTTGATGGATCATCGCCATGGAACTTTGATGGGCTCATTTTTGGAATGAATTACACACACACAACCACAAAGAGAGCAAAGGAGGATTTTGGGTAAAATATAAAAAGAAGAGAGGGATTGTGATGTGTTGGGTTTGGAGGGGGATTGAGAAAGCTGAGAGAGATATATAAGTTTGTGTGCGAAAGCTAGCGATTTTTGACCGTTGACAAATTTAGGTGTGGAGGGGTGCTGGTGTTTTGGAGGCGCATGTGATGTTGAAATATGAGAGATAGCGAGAGAGAGAGAGAGAAAAGAGGGTGTTTGAAGCTTTTGAAACCATTACAACATTTCTCTTCTTATAATGATGAGCTCATGTCGGCTGCATGCGACGTCGCACGCAGTTGGCCGTGGGCAACTTAACCTTCGTTTGGAGTGTCAAATTTTTTAACCTTTCAGTTGTTTTAATTATAAAAAAACAAAGTAAATTTTTAATCTAACAAGATAAAATATAATTATTTCATTTTTTTTTAAAAGTCAAAAAAATCAAAAAAAATTATTCCAAACGAAGTTTTTTAGTTACAGATTAAAATAGTCAAAAAATCAAAAAAATCAACTTACATTCCAAACCAACCCTTAAAATGCAAATTACAAATATACCCTTAGATTTTCTTAAAAAATATATATTTTTTTATAATTTTGAAAATTATAAATATTTTATGAGTTATAGGGATTAAATAAAGGGTTGAGTTTTATTTATTTATTTTTTATTTTTATATTGTGATCCCAGTACGAGAGAATTTGAGAGATTTGTAGGGTCCATCATATCCGAACTATTTACTTTTTAAGACTCATAGAATATTTTATGCAATGTACCTATATGTTTAAATCAAATTTATATTACAAAAAATAAATAGTTATTATTGAAATTATATTTGCCGTCTATTTTTTTAAAATAAACATGATTCAAATATATATAATTATCAATGTCTAATTATTTTGATTTTTTTATATGAATATTCAAAATTAATTTTAAAATGAACCTATCAATTCCAAACGCTTTCTTAAATTGAGATGATGACAATTTGAGAGAAATCAAACTCTTAAATAATTACTTGCCCTTTATGTAATTGATTATTTTTTTAACTAGAAAGCTTACATAAGCTAATATGCGAGCTGTACTAAGGAGTGTCACACGACACGAAATCTTGTTTAAAATATTTTTTCTCTTGTCTCATAATAATTTTAATACTTATTTGTATGTTTTTAAGTTTTTATATTTTAAAATTTTCACATAAGATGTTTATGAACAAAAGGGCGAGAAGATGTGAGGACAAAGAATCATTAGAAAAATAAATAAATAAATAAAGAGACTAAGAAGATGGTAATGGTGTGCATCAAGCGAAATCATGACCCCTTCAGATTGACAGATTTGACGAGAAAAAGAAATAGAAAAAAAAAATGGATAGAAAGAAATTTGTCATCACATTTTGGATAATCAAAGAGTTGAGAAAATGTGAGAGAGAAATAGTAAAAGTGATAAATTTCTTAAAATTTTTATTTTGTCTCTCATTTAAATAATTAAAGAAATGAGAAATGGGAAATATATGGTGTACTCCCCTAAAAAGGAATAGATCGTAAGAAATATTACAACACATTGCAATATTAGTTATGATAATTTGAGGTAGAAGTTACGAATAAGTAAATCTATAACGTGAAGTGTACTTTTAAAGTGGAAATTATGAACTATTATAATTGTGTTATGATAGTATAATGTAAATGTTAAAAATCATTTGTAGTGAGAAATGTGAAAAATCTAGAAATCCCCTAGATGTTGATTTGTGAATATATATCAATTTTAAGCAGAATATAACAATCCCAATCAAACAATCAAGACAAAGAGACACAACGATTTTACGTGGAAAAAATCACAATTGGACACCTTCAACTGTGATAAAAAACCACGGGCAACAGGCACAAAACAATCCACTAAGAAGATTTAAAGGAATTACACAGGTATACTCTCAATTACTTAGCGAATCCACGCCTAATTGAACCAACCTCAGACTTTTATTTTCTAATGAGAAATATCTTAAATAAAAAAATTAATAAAATACAAGTGAGACATATTCAGTAAGTAAGAAACTAATTGTAAATCATTTATACCTACTTAGCACTCCATTTATTATAAGGGAAATGATTTGTAGCCCTAAAAACCTCACCCCTAATCCCTCTAATTTCCATTTCTGGCAACTGTTTCCTTTTTTTTTTTTTTTTTTACTTAATATGAAAATTAGGGGGATTAGGGGGATGTTTTTTAGGGAGATGTAGCATGACCCATAATTTTAATACTTATTTGTATGTTTTTAAGTTTTTATATTTTAAAATTTTCACATAAGATGTTTATGAACAAAAGGGCGAGAAGATGTGAGGACAAAGAATCATTAGAAAAATAAATAAATAAATAAAGAGACTAAGAAGATGGTAATGGTGTGCATCAAGCGAAATCATGACCCCTTCAGATTGACAGATTTGACGAGAAAAAGAAATAGAAAAAAAAAATGGATAGAAAGAAATTTGTCATCACATTTTGGATAATCAAAGAGTTGAGAAAATGTGAGAGAGAAATAGTAAAAGTGATAAATTTCTTAAAATTTATATTTTGTCTCTCATTTAAATAATTAAAGAAATGGGAAATGGGAAATATATGGTGTACTCCCCTAAAAAGGAATAGATCGTAAGAAATATTACAACACATTGCAGTATTAGTTATGATAATTTGAGATAGAAGTTACGAATAAGTAAATCTATAACGTGAAGTGTACTTTTAAAGTGAAAATTATGAACTATTATGATTGTGTTATGATAGTATAATGTAAATGTTAAAAATCATTTGTAGTGAGAAATGTTAGGAAGATAAAATTTTTAACATGTTGTGATGTTTATAATATAAGGTATGTTTCTTTTTAGAAGTGCATACCACACCAACTCGTAATGAAAAAATGTGTGAAAGGAAGAAAAAAGCGGAATTTCCCCCGTTCAAAACTCACGTTTTATATGTTACCAAATGCAAAATCAAATTACCTGTTACAAATAATTTATAATTTCTAAACTATTCGTCTAAATATTTATTTAATATTCATCCAATGTGAAATCACAATTGTTTTGTTCTTTATCCAATTACATGAGAAGAGAAACCACAATCCTACAATTTTTAAATTTTATTATTATTTTGCTGGCCTACCATACCAAACGGAGTGTTGGTGCAGAGGTGTTTCCTTTTTGCACGATAGAGACTGAAAATGAAAGCTAGTCAAACAATCAATTGGCTGATCCATATTGACAGTTTGATTAATAAACTAAATGCCGAATTTGATTAAAAATTAAAGACCAATAAACAAATAAAAGTTAAAAAACAAAAAGAAGAGGAAGAATCTAGGAAGGGGTTATTGATCAAATGACAAGAATTATAAGAAGATAATAAGAATCTTAGAGGCTCAACCACAACGTTCGTCACCACCGAGCTCATCAGAAACTAAGATACGATTAAAACAATTAATATTATAAACACGAAAGGTCAAAAAAATTCAATTATTAAAATCAAAGGATCTAGTACAATGTATTGTTTTTTGTTATTAAAATCAAAGTAAATGTATTGCTTTGAAAAAGATGATCTATACAATGCATTGTCTATATTATAATAGTCCTTAGCCCCCCCCCCCTTTTTTATAACTAATTTGGTCTTTGTAATTTTAGTTGCATTAATTTTATTTTTCATTTTTTTTACATTGTATTTGTTTAGTTCAATTGATAATATCCATTAAAAAATTGAAAAAAAAAATCATAGATAAAATAGTCCATTGTTTTCGAAATAACTGAATAATTGACGTACAATTTGAAATGACGCATTCTATAATCCATTCACTCTCTTAAAAATGACTGAGAGGTTGATGTACAATTTGAAATGATATAATTTTTTTTTTTAAAACAAATCATTTTGTTCTTAATTTTTGTCCAATTATTTAACAAATATTATTTATTAGACTAAATTAACATGAAAAATTAAAATGCAAAAATGACCAAATTAATACAAAAAGAAAATTATAGGGGCCACAGAAATAATTTGCCCAATATTAATTTATCCCTTTACCTTTCAATAGTCATTAACTCCTTTTGAAAAAAATTCAATGTGGAATGCATATGTACTTTGCTATGAATTTTTATGATAGATGTTATGTATTTTTTATGACAAATGTTACATAATCATGTGGTAGAGTTATGATAATTTATTATTTAGAAAATAAAGTTATGCATTTTTATAGAAATGTTACACATTTTTTCATCGAAACAATTTTGAATCATAAAAATGCATAACATTACTAAAAAAAATGTGTAACTTTATTTCTAAACAAAAATTATCATAACTCTAGGACAAAAATATATAACAAAATACAAATAGGTTGCATTTTTAAGGGGGGCGTACCATAACATTTCATTCTATCATATTTCAAAGGACAAGTGAGCTGGAGTTGAGCACAATTCACACAATTAGCTCATCAATAAAGGGAAAAAATTAAAAAAAATGGAAAAAAAAAGAAAAAAAAGAAAAGAAAAAGAAACACAGAGATTATTTGGAGTCTTAGAAAGTAAGGTTGTGAAGTCTTAAATACGAGAGAAAAGAAAAGATAATAATTAAAAATAATAATTATTTGGTTTCTTGTCTTTTTCAATCTCCATTTTTAAAGAAATTCAAAATGAGATTTATAAAAAAAAATGCGTTTCTCTTCATTTTATTTCATTTCATTTCATCCCATTTATCTCCTCATTGCTTATATAAACAAGTGACATGAACTAAAATATTAAAATAATAATAATTTTTTTCCCAAATCAACCAATCTAAATGGCTTGAAGGCACAACGTGAAACAAGTTTTTTTTTTCAAGAGAAATTATTCGATATTCCTAGAACAAATCTAAATGATGTTTCAAATTAGTAGTAATTGGTCTAAATGATAAAATTCATTATTTTTGTATTAGAGTTTAGAAAATAAAATGATAGATGTC